CTCCAGAAAACCCTGGGAGCCCCCCGCGCTCCCAGCCCTTTTCTTCCTCGCCTGCGGGCTTACCGGAACCAGCAGGGAAATAAAAGTTTTCGGCGTAAAGTCTTGTCCTGGATTCGCCCCGTGTTCTTTCCGAAGCTAATGACTTCGTTTCAAATTGCAGACGAAGATGATGTCCACAAATGCGGTCGCTGCCAGTCGGAGTTCACCTCCTTGGAGGAATTTGTTCAGCACAAGCTGCAAAAGATCTGCCAGCGCGCTCCAGAAGCCCTTGCTGCTGCCTCGGCGGGGCTTCTCAACCAAGAAGTACAAAAGGTGACGGCAGGCGTTTCCCCAACCTGTGGCTCAAAATAATTAGGATGCAACGATCTCTTGGGTTACAGGAGTTAGGAAAATAACGTGATATTTTAAAAAAAAAAAAAAACCTCTTCTGCTAAAACATTATCTGTTACAACAGGTCGTTCCTTCTGTTGAGGAGTCTATAACTGTTGCTCATATAGTTGTTGAAGCATCTTCAATCGCAGAGGAAATCAGTAATGCATCAGCTATAGTAGGTAAGTTTCGAGGTACTTGCTTTTATATTCCAGCTGTTTTAGTAATGTGTTTACTCGTCCATTTGTCCTTTTGTGTTTGATTTGTGTTGTAATTGGGTAGCTAAAATGCTATATAGTGGGGACTTATACGTTATCTTAAAAATGCAGCAGAAAAGCTTTCTCAGGCCACCTCTGTAATTCTCACCTAGCTGAGATTTAACACAGCTTAGATTTAAATCTCCGTTCCAGAAGTGTCCATTTTAATATTTTCATTATAATACTGAGAACTTGATAAAGAACTGTGTTCCAGTTTTGAAGTACCTCTTTCTCCTTCCTAGTGCATGAAATCCTGAAACAATAAGTTGATCCAGCTATGCAAAGCTGTCTGCTGTCTTCTGTAAAGAACATAACTGTCTCCGTATCCTTTTCCCAGGTAGTGGGCACATAAAAGAAGTCATTGTTGCAGGAGACCATGTTTTTGAAAACCCAAATGGTAGTGTTGATGGGGAAGTCACTGAAGACCAAGGCAATCCTGATGATCAGGAGCAGGATATTTCCACAGAACTGATAAAGGTTAAGCTTCTGGTTAATAAAGAAGGGCGATACGTATGTGAATTGTGCCAGAAGACATTTAAAACGGTAAGTGCAACTTTTACTGTGTTCTGTTTAGCAAGTTGTTCAGGGTAGCCGTACGCTGAGGTATCTCAGGACTTGATAAAAGGTGTATTGTTCTAGTGCGTGCTGTGCTTTCAGAAGTAAAGGTCTGACTTCAAAAAGAGTATTTATATTTTATGGTTGAAATGTTAACTCCTTAACTATTTGGAACATCTTTTAAATGCTAGGCCAGCATCCTCAAAGCTCACATGATCACTCACAGCAGCAGAAAGGACTATGAATGTAAACTCTGTGGAACTTCCTTTAGAACAAAAGGGTCTCTGATTCGACACCATCGGCGTCACACTGGTAAGACAGCACCCCGAAATAAGAGCTCCTTATTGCTGGAATGCACACTGTGGGGTTCCTCCGCTTGCTATAGAGTGGAATATGCTGCTGCTTTCCCTCTTTTGCTGAGCTGAGAACATCAAACGCCTTGATGTGTGGGGTGCTGGGAGGTAATACGAGGCTGCGGGCTAAGCGTAGTCAACTTGCTGCAAAAAGCTGGACAGTGTTCTTCTAGAAGTCCACGATGCAGAACCAATACCAGTTACAGTTAATTTGATACTGTTGTTTTGATTCTTGCCATTTCCAGATGAACGACCTTACAAATGCAAGAAATGTGGGAAAAGCTTCAGGGAATCAGGAGCTTTGACTCGGCATCTGAAATCTCTGACACCTTGCACTGAGAAAATTCGCTTCAACATGAACAAAGAAATAGTAGTCAATAAAGATGATTTGCCAGCAGGTCAGTGATGATGTAAATACATGCCTTGTGTCTGATAAAGCCAAGTGAGCTGCTGGCACTACAGCTATAAACTCTTTTTGGTTTAAGAAAAAAAAAATCGCTACGGTGTTCAGTTTATATCTTTCATATAGAAAAAGTCATTTTTGTATACAGACCTAAACTGTTCACTTGAAGTGCATGTACCCAGGCATAGACATTGAAGAATTTTTGAGGTTCTGGTACAAAGATGGGTTTTAACAAGCAACTGGTGTTTTGTTTTGTTTTTTTCTTTTTGGATCACGTGAAACTGAATTAGAAAATGAAATGTGTCACTGCGTAGAATAATGCATGAGAAGAGGTATGCTCTGTAGAAGCAGAGAGCAATCGTTACTGCCATGTTCATATTCCAAGACACGTTTTTGTAGGGCACAGCAAATTGATGAGGGGTTGGAAGTAAGCCAAATGATTCATTCTGCTGTTTTTCTTCAAGAATCCTGTAGTTCAAACACAGACACAGTTTCATCAATCGCGAGTGAATCCATTGAGACCTCACCTGTGATTCATCTAGTGACAGATGCAAAAGGCAATGTTCTTCATGAAGTTCATGTCCAAATGCAGGAACTTCCTGTTGTTGATGCAAAATCTCTGGACCAAGATGTAAGTGCTATTTTTCTTGAACACCCTTCATGCGTTTTATGCAAAGACATATTTTAAAGTATTTTGTCTCATAAACAGCACTTTCTTAGGTGCTGAGAATAAATGTGTGCTGGAAATAAATGGTTAAATAGCTTCCTTTTTTCATCAGAAAACCAAGAAGGCAAACTGCTCTGACCTTGTCTGGCAATCTGTTGATAACGAGACTTAGCAGTATGTGTATAGCATGCAGGGGGATGCATAAGGTTTTCCACCACATACTGGATAACGTACAAGTTGAGAGGGTGTTTTTGTTGACCAGGCCCTTATACAAGACTCTACGGTAGGAGCAAAGGCTCCTCCCTTGAGCTGTATGTTTTCAGACTATAGATTCGCTTTGTCTTCCTTGCCCGTCCAGGCTTATTACCTTGTCGCTCTTACCCTGTATCACAGTATTGGTCACCTTGGTAATAATTACAGTCGTAACAGAAAGGCTAACTTTGGATTTGCTGTACCTACTTACCATTGGACCGTTTATTCCTTTAGCCACCGCATCCTGAGGAGCTGCCGTGTGAAGGGGAAGTGAACAGTGAGAATCTGCTGAGGCAGGCCATGAGGAATTCTGGAATTGTGATAGAGAGAGTCGCTGTGGAAGAAATGCAAAAGCCAGATGAACCTGCTGTAGCTGCTACAGAAGAACTAGACAATGAAGTGATGGAAGCAGAAGAGGAGCCATGTGGGGAACAGTGTGTTGAAATAGAACAACCAGAGTCTGTATGTTTGTCCTTCGCTATGTAAATAGGTTAACTTTTTTTTATCTTCTGTGCCTGCGCTTGGTTGTGAAGAGCAGCATTAGCCTGATCACCCTGCTGCATGTTAATCTCAGTGCATCTCTCCCTGTGCTTGTGCCTTTCTGTCAAGGATAAGGTGATTTTTAGAGTTAAGTTTTTCAAACATGCTGCGAGTATGGTGTTAGTGCTCTCTCTCCTGTCTGATAACAATATAGATTGCTGTCTTGTCTAAACTGGTGTATTTAATGGGAATTTGGTTAGCAGCACATCAGTTAAACAAAAAAAAAACCCACTTACGTTGTACTTTTTTTTTTCCCCCTCCCCAATAGACAGATATCGAAAGAACAAACGGATGCAAAAGTTATGTTTGCCCTCACTGTCGTGAAGCCTTCAGTGAAGCTACTTCCCTTGAAACACACATCAAAGGACACTTAGGTAAGGTTCTACTACATATGCTGTTGTCTCAAATTCACTTTATTTTACTATGGTCTGAAAGGTAGTACAGCTTGCTTTTGTTTCAAATTCTTTGCCTTCACAAGGAGTACTTCAGCCATGCAAATTCAGTTGATGTTTAACACACAAATGTTGTAAAGGTTAGAGCAGTTAACTTTTGTTAAGCTAGAGGGAAATATAAAGGAAGGAAAATATAGAGGAAATATAAAGATGGTTCCATGGAGTGAATGTTGCATTCCTAGAAGTAAAGTTTTGAGGAGGGGCCCATAACAAGGGTAGTAAGACAGAACATGCTGATAGGCTGGAACAGCTCTTTGAAAGGCACTAAAGGCCAGAAGAGCAATGTTCGGTTGGATTTGGTTTTGAATGGGACAAAGGCCATACGCTCAACTGAAAACATCGCTTTCCTCCTTCTCCAGGTTAGAATTCTGCAAGAATTTTGTTCTCCTGGCATATACTGGATATTCATTTGGAAAGGGCTTAACTGCACAAGAGGGCAACGCAGCTGGCAAAGGGATAAGCTTTTTCCCTGCCTTCTGCTTGTGTTGAGAGAAGGGCCTCTGTGACCTCTTCAGCCATCAGCTAGCTTTGATCTTTACAGACAGCAACACCAGAAACGGGCTTAAGACAAGCTTTGCTTCCTATAAGACCTGAAGTGAATAACAGTACCATTTCTATTAGCCTGATAATTTTGACCTGAGCTACTGCTGCTGGTGGGTAAAAGCGCTTTGTTTTCTTACTGCGTAGTGACAGGATATTTCAGTTCCTCTGACACTGAGTGGTGCCGTTTGGGTGCAGCAACGACACGGAATTTTCTTGCTGTGATGCTGCTGTCTGTCCTATATCAACCACGTGCCTTTTCTCTCTAGATTACAAGCCTTTTAAGTGTGAGGAGTGTGGCAAAGAGTTCACAAAAGGCTATCTGTTAAAAAAGCATCAAGAAGTGCACGTGAACGAACGGCGCTTCCGCTGCGGAGAGTGTGGCAAGCTCTACAAGACCATTGCCCATGTGAAGGGGCATCGAAGGGTACATTCCGATGAACGGCCGTATTCCTGTCCAAAGTGTGGCAAGCGTTACAAGACAAAGGTGTGCCTCTTTCAAAACGGGCTTCCCTTCAGACTTTTCCTTTTCAGAGCCGAGTTTGGGAGAAGTTGGCAGGCTTTGCTATTGAAAGAATAAATGCCCCAGTTCACTTGCCTTTGATAAGGGCAGAAGCTCCAGAAGGTGCGTTTCTTTTAGTGAAGAAAAGAGGCAGAGAAAACTGTTCCTTCATGTATGAAAAATTTACATAAGCATAATGCAAACACATCTTTATCATGTGGTGGATAAGGAGTAGTCCTCAAAGATATCGACTGTTACATTGGAAGCTAAAATACTGCTTGTCTGAGTTTGTCATTCCTTTTAGCTGCTCTTCTATCTGTATCTCTTTGTACAGAACGCCCAGCAAGTTCACTTTCGCACGCATTTGGAGGATAAGCCTTACGTATGTCAGTATTGCAGTCGGGGCTTTCGGGAAAAGGGCTCACTGGTCCGTCACATCCGCCATCACACGGGTGAAAAGCCTTTTAAGTGCTACAAATGTGGACGAGGGTTTGCAGAGCATGGCACTCTCAACAGGCACTTAAAGACCAAAGGTGAGATACGGCAGAGTGTGTCTGCATAGGCATGGTGGGGTGTGTGTGTGTGTTCTTTTATGATTTGGTTTGCACGAGTGCTTTTTGGCTGACTGGTAATGATTTTTTTAGTGTGGTGTTAGATGTTTAGAAAGGGTCTAATGACCTTCATCCATGGCCATTTGTTTACCTGCATCTCAGTTACATCAGAAGAGGAGATGCGTTTTTTTCTTCTTCTTTTTTTTTTTTAAATCTACATTAATGAGTATTTCTGATGTGGCACTTCTGACCAAAAATCATGCGGAACAAGTTTCTGTAGACCAGTTCTAATATAAAAGCTGGATAATCTAAATAAAGAGGAAGATAACCAAAACAGAATTTCTATAAAGAATGTAATCGCAGGAGCACTGTGGATTCTCTGCTCCAAACTCTGCCTTAAGTGCCCTCTGAAACATAGCTGCTGCCCTAAGCAAGGGGAGACCCACCCTATATTGTACCAACGTCTCTGCCCTGAATCTGGAAATGGTTCTATTCCAAGGCTATAAACAAAGAGGGAGAAAATGAACGTTTTTAGAAAGTAATGCCAGAAGGAGCTTGATTTCTGTGTTGGGGAAGAGGTGAGAAGACTCAGCAAAACTTAGGTTTTAGCACATAACTGCTATGGTTAAACCGGTCTTTTTTTTGGATGTTAAATTAATACTTACTTTTTCATATGAAATCCTGTAAAAACATGAAATAACGTTTTGCCAGGAAGATATCTTAAGTGCACTAAGTACTTACAGATAATACCGTCTGATCAGATTAGTGGCACTGGAGTTGCTGCTCTTGTTTAGCTTGCAAGCATGGATTTTCAAACTTCTTTAGGTAGTGATAATGATGTACTGAGGTTGTAAAAAACCAAAGGGGGGGGGGGAATTTCCTGAGTATATATGGATACAGCAAAAATTAAGATACTACTTAACTCTTAAATCTATTGTATGTTTTTTACATATGGCTTTTGAAGTCCTGCATGGCTTTCACATTTGAATTTGTATTTCTTCAAATTGCACTGTACAGTTGCTCTACTTGAGGCTCAATTCTTTGTCTGGTGTAGCATGGGCCTGTCTAGACCATTACTTGGCCTGTCTTGGTAGGACTAGAGAGACTGTTGCCACTGTCAGCTGACCAGCAGTTAGACGTTCTGTTAAGGGGATCTCATTAGCGCTGCATAGTATTTGACAGGTACTCCTGATTTCTGATTTGGTTAGAAAAAAAATCTTGTTTTTCTGGCATTTTTGGAATACCATTCAGGTGGCTGCCTGCTTGCTTTGAAGGAGGTCGAAGAAGTGATGGTGTCTGAGGAGAGTCAGTCAGCTGACAACTTAGCTGCAACAGTCATTTCTGAAGATCCTCATACTGTTTTGGTAGAATTTTCTTCAGTGGTGGCAGACACGCAGGAATACATCATCGAGGTAAGAAGTAGGGCAGAGAGTTGTGGTGTTCTGAACTTAGCATAGTATTTTGGCAATTAAAAGCTGCACAGGTGTGCATATTCCTCACCTGGACTTCTTGGAAAAGGTAAAATAAGATCTAGCTAGTGCTATCCCTGCCTGTGTGATACTAGAAAAAAGTAGGAGTAATCTTGTTCAGAAAGAGACCACCTGAAGCTTACTTCCTCTCCTTCCTGAAGTCTGCATGTAACTGAGGCAGGAAAATGAGCGTAGGGAAAACTGACAGCAATTAATCAGAAAGTTCAGACACTGAAAACTTCAGACTCTTCTGGATTTTTCTGCCCTCAGACACTTGCTTCAACTTTCCCTCACCTTTTACCTAGCGTTTTCTCCTGTCTCTGTTTAGCTTGTTTTGGACAAAACAAACTCAGTTGTTCTTAACTGGCTGTGGCTGCCAGAAGCAACTGAGTGATGCGTTTTGCTTCTTCCCTCTCTGTGACATACAGCCCGCTCCTATCTGTGCAGGATAACACAGCCCATTTGTTGAGTCCCTTTAGTACTGCCATAGTAAACATTGGGGCTGCTACCACCGTGAGAAGAATCTGGCAGTTGGCAAGGTCTGGCAGAGAGAGGATGTTCTTTCAGCTATTTGTGAGCACTTTGCGTTACTTTTAAGTAGATCTTGATAATGGGATTTGGAGGGAATTTCAGGGAGTTGCTCTCTTCAGAGAAGTTACTGCATCATGGAGGGGGAAAACAGGAAGACTTTGGCAGATTTTACTGCCTTACATCTTGGAAGTAAAAGATTTTTTTATAACCTAAAAAAGGAATCATATTTTGTATTTTAAGACTGCTACTGAAGACATGGAGACCAGTGAAGCTACTGAAATAATAGAGGGAACAAGACATGAGGTAAAGCAGACACACAAACTACTCTTTTTGGGATCTCTCTGTAGATGAAACGAATTGCTTTTAGTGGACCTGTCTGTAAAAACATAATACTGGCCATATTGGATTTTACCAAAGGTCTGACCCCATTTTCTCTCAGCAGTGGCGGCTAGTAACTTGCATAGCTTTAATGCACAAGAGCATACCTGCTGGGTAAATAGAATCGTACATTAACACTTCAGCCTTTGGGAAATGATTCTCTTACGGAACTCCTGAATGCTAGAAATTGTTATGGTCGTTGCAAAATCAGAGGCTGGCTAGTCTCTCGCATTGTAGTTCGAGTTTGAAGTCTGGGTATGCACCGTCAAGATTTGCCTATAAACAGTAGTTTGACAAACATCTTAAGTGACATGAGACGCAACATGTTCTAGGAACGTCCTGTTCTCAGGGTGATAATGAGAACGTCAGTGAACGGCTGGACTAAGTTAGAATTAAAATGCTGCTGCTTTTACTGCACTGTTTGTCATCAGACAGTGTTTCTACCTATGATAATTTTCTGTACTTTTAACACATTACAACAAATCATGAAATAACCTGGCCTCTTTTCTCTGAATGCAGGTTGACAGCCACATTATGAAGGTTGTGCAACAAATAGTAAATCAAGCAAACTCTGGTCACCAGATCATTGTACAGAATGTTACAGTGGCAGAAAACTCTGAAGTAACCACAGATGCTGCAGACACAATCACCATAGCGACCCCCGAAAGTCTCACTGAGCAGGTCGCTATGACACTGGCTTCTGCCATCGGAGAAGGAGCAGTGCTGACCACGGAAGGAAGTATTGAGACAGAAGAAGCAACGGTGACAATGGTTGCATCTGAGGACATTGAAATAATGGAACATGCAGGAGAGTTTGTGATCGCCTCCCAGGAGGGGGAGGTGGAAGTCCAGACTGTGATTGTATAACCAAACAGCATGCAGTGAATGACAGACCTTAATATAAAAGTTAGTATTTTTCTCCCATTTGGGGGATTTGATCAGTCCTAAGTTTGCCATTATAATTGTTCACAGAGCAAGGGTGTGAATGCTTCTATAGATAAGCGGCTTAACAAGATCATACAGCCCTGAAATGTTTTCTGTTTAAAATGGAAATAACAGTAGTTAAAAGCTTCTGCATGGTTATACTGTGGAAGAGACTGATATGTCATATTTGACAGTCTAACTCAGTATTTTGTACAGCTGCCTCAAATAAAGGACTATCCTTTGCAAAGCATTTACCTCTGACCACAGGACAGTAGTGTTCTGGTGCTTAAATTTTAGAAGAATTCAGAAAGTGAAGCAAGTATGTCATGTCTCATAAGAGACTACATAACTTAATCGTATGCATTAAAACAAAACAAGAAAACCAAACCTAAGGACTTCTGGTGTGATTTCACCACCACTTGAAGACTTTCATGCCTTTAACCTCACTGCTTTAGTCCTCCTAAGGCATGGTACTGCAGTTTTTTGTTTTTTTCCTGGACAACTAGCCTTACGTACTGGTCTATGAAAGAATGCATCATTGTACCCTTGCAATGCCAAACAGGCTACTCTGAGAGCTAGCCTGTTGGTGTGTAAAGCCATACTGTACAGGACTACTTTTAAAATCATATACAGATTTTTAATTGCATATTGTACAGATTCAGCATGTAAATAAATACATTTTTAAAAATAAAGTTATTTAAAGTTTTTCCTATATTTTCACAATTTCTGCTGTACTGAATTCATGACCCAGAGAATAATTTCTGGAAGGAGAAGATAATGGGGCTATTTACCATTGTGCTTCATCACTGGGCGAATCGAACATTCGGTTTTTCACAAAACCGCCACACACTGCTATACTCCAGGGAACTTTACAGCAGTCTGCAGTGAAAGCCAGAGGTGGAAGAGTTTCAGAAAGTCACCTGCACAGACATCGTTTACTTCTGTAGGCAGATTGCCTAGGTGAACTCTGAAAGGCATTTACCAGTGTCCCTCAAGAAAACAATGACAGTACAGGACTGAAAGGCTGTGTTAACTGCTATGCTTTTAAAGTGGCCTATCTAATGAGTGCAAGCAGGCAGCCCTAGAAAAAGCCTCAAAACCTGTAATTTCCCTGCTGCAAAACAGCCAAAAGACAAAGAGATACCTGAGACATGGTTGAATTTCTCACTGCGAACAGATGCTAAACAATAGAATGAAGATGAAGAATGCTAGAGGGATTAAGTTTGTAATCTCCACAGCTCAGCAGCAAATTTCTAATACCTTTCGCAGGATGCTGAAAGTGTCTCAATTAGTCTACTATTTCAATGGCTCTACACAGCTGGAATGAAATCTTATTTTGAAAGCGTTGAAGATGGGTGTCAAAAGGAAAGTTAGCAAATAATAAGGAGTAGTACTTCTACTAGTCTTTTTCCCAAAATCAAGGTGTTCTATAGTAGTTTGAATTTGTAGTAGAACAACACCGATTCCACAGGTTAAGATTCTGCCAGTAACCACGTTTCTTCAGTAAAACGCTTGTAACTTATTCCACACATTGCTAACAGTAATGGGTTAATATTTGCCAAATGTAAAGGTACTTACAAAAAGATCAAATGTTTCCTTGAAGATCACAGCATTTCTTTGTTAGCTCTTCCCTTGCTAGTGTAGACACAGAAAAAGATTCATTTCAGTAGGCTGGACCAGATCTCTAGCTCCATGCCAGCAAATTCACTATTAGTCCCTCCTCTAACAAGGGAACAGAGGACTGATCTTAACCTCAGAGCTCTCGTAAAGACATGGAATAAAGTATCTTAAATAGCTGCTGTGCTGAGGCATTGTTAATTAGAATACTGCAGTCAGCTGTGAGCTGTTTTCCTGCAGAGGAAACAAAATGTGAATAATTGCTAAATCAGTGCATTCAGACATTTACCACTTCCCCATGTGACACAGCTAATATCCCTGGAAGGTCTACTGCAGGAATTGCCCGTTTACGATATACCAAGATAACTTAGGAGCTCATTTTGTCTATTATACAGTGGTATATATCATACAGCCATACAAACAGTAACCATAAAAATCAAAAAGAGTTCCTCATGTATATGTTCATTAGCTGAACTTAAGCTCCAGTACAGCTTGCTTCTGTACAGCAATTGTGTCTGAAGAGACTAAAAGGTCATTGTCACAACTGGTCTGGGTAGTGTTACAGGCAAACTTGCAGGCATTCTCGCTTTATGAAAATGTATTTTCCAATTATTTGTAATACTTAATTGAAATACAATTATCTTTTTACAAAAGTCCTTTGGGACCACAAAGCGTGCTGCTGAAATAGTCTTTAAATATGCTTTTTTTTTTTTTTTAAACTTATTCTAAAAGAGTAATATCTTCATGTTTTCTTCTTTCTTTCCAATACTGTAGGAGATTTAAAGATTTCCTTTAAATTCATCCAGATTCCGTTAGAATAAATATTTTTGTAGATAACTCTTCTGTCCTGAGGCTGCAATGCTAGATGGTGAGAACACCCATATCTTCTCAGTTTATACCATTCGTTAGATGTTTGGTTGGTTAAGGCCAAGTATAGATTGAAAGAGCAGTACGCTCCCAGTACAAGAGTGAGAAGAATAACAAAACCAAGCATGAAGACAATCCTGGGAAAAGTCAAGAAAAGGTGCTGCAAAGAAAGAAAATAATAACAGTTAAAAAGTTGGAGCACTAAATCAGATGGGGACATAAGAGCTGCTGCAACAGATCATTTGAAAGGAGAGTACATACACACTCGTCACTGTGCAGCCCCATCCTCTCTCCAGGTCAGTGATGGTACATTCCTAATTGGATCTTTTAGTAAAGCAAGCAGATTTCCAGAAACTTATTTCCTTACAAAACTTGCAAATATGCAGGGTTATTGTTTACATCCACGTATCTCTGAATGCATATGTTTAATACTGGAGATTTTGCTGCTTATTACCTCACCACCATACTACAGAAAGAGTGAGAGGATCAAAATACAAGTGACTCAAATGCTGCAGTTACTCAAAGCCAACATTTGTTTATATGTGGGAGAAAATATTAAAATATCTAAATTCCATGGCAGTAGGGTCCTGCTTTACTATCTCCACTAGGATATCTCAAGGATTGCAAACAGTTTCACAAATGTTACTGCAGTAGATAGTCACTGGAACGTAAAGTAATTCTTCATGGATCAGATATGCTGAATGAAAGCAGACTGGAGACAAAAATACAGAGAACAGGAGAGCTGAAGGTAGTGCTTGCAGAAAAATGCCATATTTTTAAAGTATTCTGCTATGACAGTTTTCTAAACTCTATTAACTATATAAGCTGGTTACAAACCACAGTCTGCCCACATTCTGTCCCTGAGAACAACTGGACTTAAAAGAATTCCTGAAAGAAAAAATGCTCAGATAAGCCTTTTTTTTTGGCTAAGAACTCAGATAGCATATACTTACCTGAATGAGAAAGAGAATCTCAATAGCATGCTCTTGTCCTTGGTCATCAATGTAACTTCCATGCATCATATTTGACAGCAGCACCACTTGGATGAGAAATGCTGCTGTGATGATTGCAATGTTTGCAGCCATAGCAGTCAGCGTAAAGAGGTAAAGGAAGAAATACTTTGTATTGAAGGCACCTATGCAGTTGTTCACCCACACACAGTGGTGATCAAAACGATGCACACAGATATTACATAAACCTGATTGAAAGTGAGTGACAAGACAGTTCAGTTATTTAGCTTTTAAGTAATCAATATGATTTTTACACTGTATAGCTTAGTCTTTCATCCAAGAAAAAGAGAAATATGGTCATGTTTTAGCCTTTTTTTTTTTATAGTGGTAGCTTTTAAAGCAAATCAGTTCATTTCAATCGCATATCACCAAAAAACCCAAACCATGAACTGATCTGAAGTGCATTTCCTCTTTTACTCACCAACCAAGACAGCAGCTTAGGCATTTGGGTTTCTCTGACGGCACTGCCTAACAAAGCACATGAAAGGTAGAGACTGTACCTCCCTGCTTTGTTTTAAGTGATGATGATAACAGCGAATTTTGCAAGAGAAATACAAAATTCTGAACTCTTGGAGGTGACAACTTTTCATTTAACCATTAGATGTTTAAAGCTTGCCTATTCCTGACCCAAAATGACACCCTCAGAACTAGTAAACTCTGTGACAGAAATTAGAAGAACAAGACCCATGGATGGGCAAAGGGCAGCAGTGATCTGGGACCCTCCTGAAAATGAACCAAACACTGCGGGCATTCAGCTGCATAACAGGTCGGATGTTGTGTGAACTGGAAAGTTAAATTGCAAAAGTATTATTATTGCTGTGCTTGTCCATGAAATTAAGATTCTTACTGCAATGCTTTGATCTGGCTGGTTTCTCCATGTTGCATGTAGGGCACACAATACCTTTCTGAAATAATACAGCATCGTATGCATAAATCTTAGTCAATGATGCATGATTTGATTTCGTTATTATACCTGTGAAAGACACAAAACTGTAATAGTAGTTTCCTCAAAAAAAAAAAATCAAGTAAGTACGTGGTATTTGTAACACTTTTTAGATTCCATTTTCAAACAGCTACAACTCGCAATCAGTGCAAGCTTACCAGGATCGGCCCGAGAGCAGAGAACGAAGAACCCTATGTTCACAGCCAGCAGCAGGTAGGGTAGCAGCAGGAGATGGACGGAGAACTCCAGCTCCCAGCAGTAATCAAACACTTCCCACGTGTATTCACCATAAACTGCTGCTTCCAAGGCTATATGCAGGACAACAAACAAACAGCTTCTGTAACAGGAAGGGGACAGTGTGTTTAATACTCGTCATCTAGATCAAGTACATTCAGAGGTAATCAGCAAAGACTTTCCAAATGCAAGGACCTTTTAGGTTTTCAAGCCAGCATGGATTGCCTGTTAATAGTGTTCTCTCCAGCCAACTGCTTCTCCTTCCCTTTTCCCCACATACACTCCTTTAAGTCTCCCAGCTAAATTCACTTCCGTTATTGGTTTGTTCTTTGAATTTTTTTCCATCAGGTAGAGTCAACTGCAAAGTCGCATAATCCGTTGGTGCTGCCAAAACATGCCACAGCAACAGACCATGCAATATTCTACCAGAAGACATTTGCTTTGGGCTGCTCTGACAGCAAAGAAAATCCCAGTAAAAGGTAATATTAAAAAAACAGTAATAATCATTTCAGCAGCCACTAAAAAAAGGAAGAGTGACGGAGGTCAGCAATGGTGAACGCTAGTTTCAACCTGTAAACAGACTACAGCTTCTGCTAGACAAGCTGCATAACTGTTTGGCATGCATCATACTGAACAGCTTCAGCAGCCCTGCAAAGAGGTGCTCCGATAAGCACACGTTAGGAGAGCAATGTTCATTTACCATAGTTCTTTGGATTATACATCAGTTTGGCACCAATATTACCAGTTTTAAAGAACTAGCAATGCGTATTTTAGTACAGCCTGAACTCTGTTACAGAAAAGCTCTCCTCCACTGCTTTCTTACTGCTCTCACGTACACCATTTCTATGTGCAATCCATTAAGATCCCGAGGAGCCTCCTCTCCACTGCAGAATTACATCAAGATATCTTCAGGTGCTGTGCCTCATTGCACTCCTGCATGAGCTGAAAAAAATCTCTTTCTTAATAACATGGTGCAGTTGAAGGGCACGCTTGGAGGATCAAAGTGCTTCCAGCACACAGCATAATCTAGCAATGACAACATTAGCCTCATCAGATAATTGCTCTGTTGCTGACAGCACGTTTGACAGTATAACCACTCTCTCTCGGGCTGTGCTAACTTAACACCAGAGAATCTGCACAGCAGGCAACAAAACAGCAGCAGCGTGCATTCACCAGCTGTAGAGGTTACGCCCCTGAACTGCCATTAGAGTCAGTGCACCTCCTAAGGAAGGGTATTTAAACAGTCCGTGGAGCAGATGCACCAAAGTTAATGCACCAAAGTTTCCAGGACATTAAAAAATTGGCGTCACCTTCATACACCAGGCTGTACACAGGCCGCTAAGCGGCCTCCCCTTGAGCCGCCTGGACATCCTAGCTGCCGGACTACGAGCTCTGAGCACGAGAGAAAGCAGGGATCAGTAGTTCTCTCTAAACTTGCTCTGTGGCTGCCAGGGAGCGTGTTTTAACTCTTTCATGAATACAGTCTCCAGGCAGTGTGACCAACATCCGTTATACTGGAAGCCACTGAGCCACACTATGTTTATTTGTCAAATCTATTCAAATAGCAGGGTACCATCTTCTCATCCATAAGCAAGGAGCAGAAAGAGAACAGCGCAGCAAACCTTAAAGGGAATCTATCATCCCTGAACAAGTACTCCTGACAAGGAGAGAATATCTGAGGATGATATGAAAGCTTTGACCGTAGAAGTGGGAGGACGCCACCAATAATAGTCAGAAATAGTAACAAAAAATAACGTCAAAAGGTTAAAAAAAGTGAAATACCGTGTGTGAAAGAGCCTGTGAAGCACCTTCTGTGTCATTCTTCGAAGCTGTGTGGGGATTACAAATGACAACACCTGAAGCAAATGAAAACACTGTGTTATCTGAATCGCACATCACTTCTTCCTCCCAGTGAAAAATTCAAAGAAAAATACGAGTCCCATAATACCTCAGTTACATATCATTATCCCCTATCACTGGGGAAGCAGCTCATCTTCAGGGGCGTTTGAGCTCCTAAAAATACAGGCAAGCACCTTGCTGGGGTTTTCAAAATGGGAGTGAGGTGCTACTATATTCTGGTAAGCCCAGTAGCCACAAACAAATTTATCTGGGTTAATGTGTGAAAGTTATAAGGAGCTTACCTCAGGTTACAGACTGGGCAACTGGTTAAGCAGGGGATAGAACTGAGCGATTTCTAAACTACAATAAGCTTCATCAGGACATCTGACAGATGTAAGTGGAGATAAGCAAAGGGATAAAGCCTGCCATCCTCCAGGAAAAACACAGCACTTTCTTCTAGTACGAATACTATGCAGTCTGATAGCTCCATGTCTGTCTAATTGCCACTTCAAAACCAGCTAGGCACAATGAAGAAGAAAACTGCCTGTCTTCATTCAGGGAAATTCTTGGTAAAAGTCTGCAACTGTGGAACTGTTTTAACTCTGCTGTTCAGAAGATGACATATCTCTATAGCAACACTGCGCCATCAGTGGTGGAAGAATTAAGCAGCTGAGCCCGTTTCCAGTAGACACAGAAAGAAAATATGCAGTCAGAGCTTTTCACCTTAGATGTGAAAGACCATGAGGCAAAAAGCACACATAGGTTTGGGAAGATGCTAAATATTTTTCTTTCAAGAGGTAGACCTTATATTGGCGGCTTAAGTTACAGATCCTTTTAAAAAGGGGTTACATACTGCAGTAGGAGGCACATTAGACATGACTAGACAGAAAAGCACGCATTACGGAACCGATGATTCAAATTTAAATTAACTGTATGTGTGTTAATTACTGTCTAGCACTGCATTCAAAAACTGAAACATCCAGTATTCCCCTACATACAATACGGTAATCCCTTGTACTTCAGACATTCCTCACACCAAAGCAAAAGCCTCTTACATATATGATTTGTGCTTGCAATGATTACGGAAGTAAGAGCATATGAATACTGTATAACGAACATAACCATCTTGCTCCAGTGAATCACTGGCAGTGTGGAAAACAGATCAGTGGGATGGAAGCTGACTTGCCTGAGAGCTAGAAACAGCTGCAGTATGTGTAAGTTTATTTTCTATAGCTCACAATAAACACTTTAAAGGACCTAAAATAACACAATCAAACAACTTCAACAAACTTTCAGGCTTATCCACTTCCTTAATTACACTCAGAAATGAATTTAAAATACAGCATATAAAGAAACTATTTAGGTTTGCCTTTAACTATTTCATGTATACAAGTACCGATTATACTTCTCCAGACAGTGACTTTTACATCATAGTAGAATTTTAACAGCTGATAGTTACACATTTTGTACAAGTACCTAGTAAGTAATGTAAAAAACCCCAAATTTCTCTGCACAGTGATCTCAGTGCCTATAATACAAAATGAAAATATAATACTAGTAACAACAATCAAAGTCTGTTTAGACTCATATAACTAAATATTATTCATAACTTAAATAATTTCCTTTTCCTTTCCCTGCCTAGAATTCTACACGTTTTTTTTCCTTTCAGACACAGTCCAATAGACAAAAATATAAGCTGGTGCCTTTTCAATTCATTCCCTCTATTTTTACAACAAAAAGCCAATTCTTAATCTTCTTTTAAAGCTCTTCATCCCCTCTCTTTCTTAAAAAAGAACAGCAGGCAGCATTATTGTAGACTCACATTAAAGAGCTTTTCCTAAAACACGTGCGACCAGTTATAACTCTCTCCCCACTTTTATTCTCATAACGCCTTCCTCACCATTTTCCTCTTAATGAGAGCAGCAAATACTACAAAATTGCAAATACTTGAGGGCCTTATTATTAACCAATTTCTTAAAGCTCATGTGTTATGCTGTCACTGAACAACATGATTTTAGTATCATGAGAAGTTCTGTCCTTACTATTTTATTGTGGTTACTGTGGGTGGCCAGACTGGTACATCTATAAACAGGATATCCCTTAGCCATTAGACGCCAATGTGTTTTTACTACCTGCTCGGACAGGATTTCAACCGCTGAAAAGAAGCATGTTCCTATTTCTGATCCCAGTTAGCACTTCCCTAAAAGCAGCGGTCAAAATCAGATGGAATACGAAATATAGCACCTCACCATTCCAAACACATATACTAGCATTTTTTTATGTAGGAGAAATATAAGTTGCACTGATTGTAGCACGATGAACCAGGAGACAACACCAGAACAGGAAACAATCATCATTCTGAAAGCTCAGCTCCTTACCTGGGCTGCACCATTGACGCTTCGTGCAAGGAAACTCTGTTTCCTTCCGGAGTAGATGCAGACTAGAACAATAGTAGCAAGAACAAAACACAAATACATCAAGAAGAGAGTCAGAAAGTCCATCCTGAGTCCTGCAAAGCAACAGGAGGAGCTTATTAGTGCCTCTCATTAGTGCTGATTAGTGCCTGCTTATTAGTGCTGCCTTTACCTAGCCTCTTTACCTCAGTGCCTGGGCCTAGATATGCTTCATGCGTATGGTTTACTGCATCACTGAAATACAGGAACGAAGCACCTCGAAGTCCAGGCAATTCATACAAATCCTCTCCGCGAGGCCAAAGCATTTATTTCAGTATGTTATTGATGTATTTGTGCGCAGCCCCAGACCAGGCACAGCGAGTGTTTTAGAAAGCAAAGGCCAGAAGAGATCTTG